GGGAGGGGCTGCATCACCCATCATACTCACCCGATATCGTACACTCGGATTTCCATTTATTCCGATCCCTACAACATTTTCTTAGTGCCAAAAAATTTGAAAATTTGGATGATGTCCAAAATGCCATCTTAAGATATTTTACTTAAAAACCAATTGATTTATATCGGTCCGGAGATTGAAAGTATGCTCACTAGATGGCAAAAGGTTGATAACAATGAGGGTGATTACATTGTTGATTAAAAATAAAAAGGTGTTAAAAATTTATTCGTATGAATTTAATGTAAGAAAGCGACATTACTTTCCGGTCCCCCTATTATTAATACGAAATTTGAAGAAAAATCTTTGTACCCCTCTTTAAGCACATTGCGTGCCCGGAGGAGTGTGAGTTTTGGCACAGTTAAAAGCTCATATGGAGAAGGAGTGCTGAAAATAAAATCTGTGTATAATATATGTTACAAATACATTAAATAAAACACTCATTGTTTACATTCGTGTACTGGAAAAATTAGCGGAGTAAATGCAAAGTGGATGATTTGTAATTGATTTAAATTTTAAATGCTCATGAAAAGAATTAATTGGATATATAGTAAATTGCATTTACTTTTGATTATATTACATAGCTACATATTATTAAAAATAAGACAAAGATTAAAATTGTTGAGATATTTGTTTATTGCTTTTTTTAATTCCTTAATTTGTTAAAAGCGTAGATTGATTAATTAAAAAACATAAATTAAAAATCTTTGTTTTGTCAAATTACAACAATCTGAGAATCTAGTTTGCTCAATATACATCTGCTGTATAAAGAAAATTGTGCAGCAACAATATGAATTAACCTTCCCTCGCCTATTATTTATTGGTGGTTTAAAAAAAGTGAGTGCATTTTATTATTTAAACTAAACCCTAATTAAGCTTGGCTTCAATAATTTCATTAATTTATTTTTAACATTTAAGTATTCACACCTACTTACATTATGCCTCAAACATAGAATATTGACGGGTAGGAGTGAGAGACAAAGAAGAAAGGATATATGTATATATTCGCGTATACATAATAATATGCCAAATGCAAATTTTAATAGGGTAAATGGAACACAAAATGATGAAATTATTTTGAGAGATACATTTAAATGGACTCTGAATGTTATTCCAAGAACTTTTAATAGTTTTGATTATGGATTGGTGGATTTACAATGCAGGTTTTGCCATATAAATCATTTCAAATTTGAAGTCACTTAAGGAGAAAGGACTGCATTCAATTCATGTTGTCATAAAGGTAAAGCGATATTACCGGATTAAAGAGATCAGGAGTATCTGAAGATTAGTCCGAAACTCGGGGACTTGTAATAACAGAAACGCACACTAAATCTAAGCAGGAACTAACATGGGGCATTCGTTGAGCACCCGACCGTTAACAGAGCGGCAACTGATGATCCACAAAGCGACAAAAGTAACACTTAAATTAATCCGAAAAACTCATCATATCGCAAAATGACTAGTATTTTTGTAAGAGCGCGCAGTTGATGAACACAGGAAACAGGAATTGCAAGGACATGATCATTTGGTGAGCAATAATGGACGTTTGAACGGGAAAAAAATTTTCCAGGTTGTGTTTCTTTTCATGGGTCAATTAGTAGGAAATTTGGGACCTTGCGTAAGTCGGATGGATGTCCTATCGCTCCAGAGTTACAGCAAGTCAAATTTTACCTGCTAGTTGGCAGTTTAGCTTACGTGTCCTAGATAGCATTTCGTACCTCTAGGATTGAGTGAGAACTCGGAAGAGTGATACCACAACTAACAAGACACTTGTGGCGTTTCAATACCGGTTCTTCGATATGAATTTTTCTGTTTGTTTTGAGAAATACGGCAAGTCTTCCAGTTCATATACCTTTTCTGCTCCATCACTTGGGATGACTAACAGCAGGAATAATAACATCGGTACTTTTGGTCCTTGTTTTCGTCAGCTGGGCACCTTATGAACAGAAAAGCCTCATTTTTTTGTTTTTGCATTGCAAAAATTTGCTTGGAAATGCATTTGCTTACTCAGTGAGGCTTTGAACTGCAGATATTTAGTTTCGCGGAATCAGTGTAATTCTGGGTCACAGATCTTTACTGTTGTACACATTGTTGCGTTTTACGGGTTTGTGGATTTGGAGTAATTGATACTAACACTTGATGAAGAAATCAAAACACAATTTATTTACCAGTATGCCCTATTACACCGAACAGTTCCGAAGACTCGTTACAGTCGTCGTAAAACTACAATAAGCATTCTGAAAAAAAAAATCAGATTTTTTGGAAGCAGGTAAGATGAAAAATTAGCAACCGCCTTCGCCTGGAATCGAGCCACGGACCTCCAGAATACCGGCCCAGCGTGCAGAACCACTACACCACGAAGGCACGCTAGGAAGGCGGGATAGATACCTTTAAATAGAAAAATTGATTTCTTTCCAAATTCTACCATTGCTGCAAACTACTTTCTCTATGCCATTTTGTCTATCATCTGCGAAAATATTAACTTTTTTGTTATACTTATTGATCTGTCTTCGGCTGGTGCTTTATAGACTAAACAATTTTCCAAGTTGTAAGATTTTTTGACACTTTTATAGTTCCTCTCCCATTAGGCCCACCGATCCTTCCGAACAAGGATACGAATAAGTCTTTTGTTGTCATGAAGTAAGTTGTTTTCCTTCGTATTGGAATATAGCGTTGGGTGCAAATGGCACATTTTCTTTGCTATTGGTTTGTAGCAGTCCTTGCATATTTGACTCTAATTTTGAGCAGAGCATTCAAACTTTCAATGTGACAGTGTCCCACCAAACACAAGGATGTGCATGTAGCATGAATTATTATACTATATGCCATCAGAATATGAGAATACGACCATAGGAAACTTCCAAAATCTTCCAGTCATAAACTCAAAACCATACGTGGAATAGATCAATGTTCTCCTTTTTTCTTCATACACCAGCACACCAGCGGTATCATGGTGTATAAAGGTATATTCTGGTATATCCTCGTATCCTATTTTATTCATATAGCAGGATATATCTGAGGAATATTCCCAGGAATATCTTTACATAGTCTAGGAATGTTACAGATGTGATTTCTAGCGTCAGTCCATCGATCTGCATTTAAAAAATGTTTGCATCAGTTGGAGAACATACCAATTCGCGTTACTGTTCTATGCTGGTAAGTAAGCCTCTTCTGTAGTGACTATCTAAGGGTAGAATAGCCAAATGTCTTGTTTCAGAATACACCATTTTGATAGTTATTCAATTCAAAGACAGCTCATCTACCCGTTCTCAGTTGCTGCCGATAAGCAATTGACTCATTATTTTGTAAATTCTCTTAGGTAGGTATACGTGCGGGGGCCAACCAAAATACTAACCATAAGTGAATGAGTATATTCCTCATCACTATATCCTTATACACTGCATATACAGAATGAACAACATCCTTTCAATAACCAGATGACAACATATTCGTATAGCATTCAGTGTGCCTACAGCATTTTAGGAAATTTAGTCATACGAAATGGTTAACAGTCAGAGACGTTCATGATAATTAACTTTCATAATGATAGTGGTAATTAACTTATGTTGCAAAGTTCTCGGCCTTTAAAGGTTAGAAAACTCATAACTTTTACAATTTCATTTCCTGTATATTTGTTGCTTACTGCAAATCTTAGAAAAGGTAAAAGTTCCTGCCCTAAGATAAGTTTTTTTTTAAAAATACAATGATGTTATTAAAGGGAATGAAAAAATACAGTATTTTGGTTAGCCACTTTCTCCAAACACATAAGAATCTATCTGTACATGATATATTCATTGCATAAAAATATGTAGGAAAGGGCCTACGGTGATTTATTTGGTAGTATACGAAAGAGAAGACTATTTTTGGCAATAGAATGAATGCTGTTCTTCCTGTGTCGATAGCATCCCACCTTAGTTGCCAAATATTTTCAGCAGCAATTCGTAATTTTCATTTCAGGTATGAAGCTAGCCGTGGAATATAAATTTTTGTATTAGATATATTTTGGGCTGCTTCTTTGGCTTACTGATCAGCTTCCTCAGCTCCCTCTCAGCCACCTCAGTACAATACGGCTTTTTATCCATAAATATCCATTATGTAAAAATGTTGACCCTGGACACTGGAATATTTATCTAGAATTTGTTGAATAAGTTCTTTTAATTTTATAAATTCTCTTAACTGTAACCCACCAGGAGGGGTCAAGTAAAAGTGTTAAATTTTAATCTGTACTAAAGTATGTTTAAAAATTCTATAACTCGCTGATTATTTTGCGACGTTTAAGTTAGATCGCTTATTAGAGTTACAACTATCCCATGAAGGATAGAAAAAATAATTACTTTCTTGTAGAAAATTCTATATTGGATAATCATTATTTGAATAATCATTATTTATATTATTAATTGGATAATCATTATTTGAATTGGATTATCATTATTATTTGAATTATTGGATAATCATTATTTGAATTCTCAGCGTCAGATATTGGAAACATGATTATTTAGCATCACACTTTAAAAACATTTTTTTTAAAATTTCCATTTTAATTTTTTTTGTTCCATATTACGTATATATATTCTAAAACTAAACTCGCTTAGAATAAGGAATCAGATATCTTAAGTGCTAATGAACTGAGAAAAATCTGATGACTGTGTTTTTAAACTATTCTTCTGATACAGATTAAGTTTCATAATTAATTTTTTCTAGAAAGTAAAATCATTTACACCCGATATTAATAACGTATTAATTATATGATGCTATAACCTTTTTAAGCTTATTTTAATTAACACATTATGGCTTAAGTTAAAAAATTTCTTGTACTTCTACTATTTTGCCTAGTTCACTAGAATATGTAACAGCAGGTTAGACTGAATCAAACTAATTGTAATGTTAGAAGTTAAGTAAACTTCATTAAATAAAGAATAACTAAAGAGACTTAACTAAAGAAATTACTTTCAGTGAGCAAGACCTGCAGAAAAGAACAGTAACTTTTATTTACATGAACTTTTAATCACTATTTACAGAATCAAAAAATAAAAATGATCACATATTTTAGCAGAAATAAGAGATGAGCTTTCAGAAACGTTTATTTATCTCCCGTACGAAGTGGTAGAAGGTCTGGGGAAGTTCCCAACGAACTTGACACGTCCTTCGCAGCACATATTGGCCTTCGCGCAGCAATCTTTGTGATCGGCATCGTTACCAGGGCATGTCCAGCATCGAATCTGGTCTCCGACGCTCTGCGATTCCGTGACCGGAAGGACGAGCAGGATTCCGATGAAAAGAAAGGCAATCAGCAGCAGTCTCATTTTTGACAATTGCGCAAATCTGTGAAGAACTGCAAATAAATATGAGATTAAATCTTTGAGTTGAATCTTTTCAAATTTTAATGTAACATCAAATATACAATACTGCGCATTGCGTAAAATTAGATTTCCTACAATCTACTGACATTTTCCCTGAGAAAGGAGGGGGGAGCGAAGGCACAAGTCTGCATATATTTTTAATATGTTAAATTTGGATCTTTTTCATTATAGGAGCCCACCAAGGGCCGAATTGCTGAACACTGGTCGGTCCGGGTTTCGAATCCAGGCGAATGGGCTGGCTGCATGGGCGTTCTCGTGATTGCCCCCATCTTTAACCTGTATACGAGCCAGTTTCCCTTATAAAGTATTCCACAAAGCCATTTAATTAATGTTTGGTTTAGTTAACCAAACCTTTTCTGTTATAGGACCAGCAGTTTTCTTTAGAAAGATTCACACGCAGTTTTCTTTAGAAAGATTCACACGTTAGTTTGATATTCCCAGTGAGAAAACATAATTTCGTCATCATTTCATTTTGCCTTTCATTTTGCTAAGTCCACTAACAAAATTGCAAAATGAGATTAGGAAGTTTAACTATCGTACTATACAGTATAATTATGCTGTTTAAATACTAAATAAACCACACAGGTAATTATCGCAGAATGAAGTGCGTATACTTTTTTCACCTAGGTAAAATATTGAGTATTTGCGTGTTATCCTAACTTCTTTAGTAGGAGTCTCCAAATGTTGACAATGTGCTAAACTCTGGCAACCATGCACACAACCATTCTTCAGACAACCATGCTGATAGCAACCGTTCAGTCAAGCCAGTCGCCCTTTTCGAATGTGTTCTTTATTCTGTATTCCATGCTCCAATGTTTTTATAAACAAACCGTGATAACTTTTGCCTTAAACGTAATTTTTAAATATGCGCTTATATAATTTGATAGCAATGGAAGAAGCTTTGGTAAAATTTCTGCAAAAATACAGAATTTTGCTGCAAAATGTATAAAGGGAACAATGAGGAGATGCGTTTGGTAGACAGCCCGTGTTTCCGAGGTTTGCGCTATGTCGAGTTTCTGTAATTCTCTGATTTTTTTAAAGCGAAAACACTTTGGGTAATAATAGCGATAAAATATGTTACAGAAACTTCTGAAGACGAATGCAGTGTTTTAATATGTCATGTAGTCCTTCTTTAAAAATTAGAATTTGAATTTTACATTGAATTTTAAAGCATATTGACATTTGAAACGTGGATAATATTTGCCAACTTATCATAAATACCGATAGTTTGCGAATGTTTTCCAAAAAAGTCGCAAAAGCCACCAACTTTCACCCGATAAGTAACTTGCCTTTTCATTCAACAAAAATCGCTAATTTGCGCCAGGCTGATTTCGTTAATACGTAAGTACCAAATAATGCATTTAATTAAACAGCTTACCTTTATTTCTAATCATAATAAAAGCAACATACTCTCATCAAACATTCACCTGCATTTTTATTTCTCAAAATTTATACGAAAACATGAGGTCCTGTTTGCGAGCAAATGTGGTATTTTAAAGACATTTTACTACTAATAATTATTTTGGAAATAAAAATGCTATTACAAGACGTAGGAACGTATTTAATCGTAGCCAACAGGCAACAGTAGGGTATATATCTTTCGCTAGAGGATTATTTGGTGTATTTTGTCTGATATATATATTTGGTATATATTGTCTTGGTGTATATCTATATAAGAGCAGAAGAGCCCATACATTTGTTTTAACGGGTTCATTATTTTTGTAATCGAGAAGGCATTTCACAATTTTTAATACAAAATTTTAATTTTTAGTGCTGTACCTTATATGTGGTAACGTTAATTAGTCCAATAAACCTAACAGACGTAAAGCGAATAATCGCTAGGTATGAAGTAACTATAAAGTCGTGAGAAGATTTAAATAACCTTTTCATTTAAAACAGAACTTAGAACATTAACTTACTCTCTTGTGCAACAATATCAGTCAGAGCCTGTGGTGACTGCAACTAAATAGAACAGTCAAATTTAAGTGGAACAGTAGTCAAAGACTAGACAGATAAATACACTGGTTATCATAAATTAAGGAAAAATCACAAAAATCACGATTACTGAAAAAGTTACATGTAGAATTTAATGAAACTTACCCACAATATATAACAGTATAGGTACTATAAGGTATCAAAACATAAAAAGAATTGCCAACATATGGTAGTATGAATTAGTACGTAATAAATGAACAAATCGAAGCTGTCAGTTTGCTATAGGAAAGTACCTTCAATATGGAATATGATCGCCTCTAGAAGCAATACAGCCATACAGCGATGTGTGAGCTTTCAATTATGCGGTCTATCAGTTCCATAGGAAGCGAGAGCCATGCTCTTGCAAAACAGTTTGCAGGCACGACAAGGGTCTGAGGGGGCGGACTGAGAGCAGCTAGACGTCTCCCCTAAAGCATCTCAAACGTGCTCGATAGGGATTCAAGTCCGGGATAGCTGGCCACTTCCATGCGCATAATTCTTTCTGTGAAGATAATCATATACGATGCGAGCCCGTGTTGGTCTTGCATTGTCGTCCCTGTAAAAGGAAAATCACCTATGCCCCGGCATATAGCGCACATAAGCATCAAGGATGTCATCTCTAAAATATAGCATTACGGTTCCCTTGGAGACATGGAGGTCTGTGCGTCCACCAAAAGAGATGGCCACCCCAAACACAGACCCTGCCCGTTCCGTATGCATCTCTTTCACGGATGTTGACGGATGATAACGGGTTCTAGGTTCTCTTCATATCAAATAACGCGTACTATCGCTTTCCGACTCATTCGTAAAAAGAACCGCCCTCCATTGATCAGGCGTCCAGTGACATGTTGTCGTGCCCACTGAAAACGGTCCCCCCATTGCGTGACGTGAGTGGCACACAAATGGCTGGTCCGCCTCGCATACAGACCACCGTGAAGCCTTCTACGCCACAGTTGACGTTGACTTGAACCTTCCGGGGGCTGCAGCAAGGGAGGATCTAAGAAAAGTCGGAGTAGCGGTTCTATTCCTGCGTGCACATAATGTCACATATTGGTCATCGGGGCTCGTCGTAGCAGTTGGCTGTTCTTGGCTAAACCTCCTAGATGCCAAATCTGTGGTTTGAAATTGCCTCTAAAGTCTATGAACCACAGAAGGACTCACATTTAGCCATCTGGCCACTTCTGTTTGACTACACAGAAGGACTCCCATTTAGCCATTCTGACTTCCTGCCTCTAGTCTCCCAATGGCTCTCCATCGCAGCTCTGCAGGCAAATGATGCCTGGAGGTCATTGTTACGAATTGGCTATCTCAGATTTCTGATGTCACTGTCACAGTGAAATATGGGGGGCTTGCTCTCAAACTGGACTTTATGCTCCTGGATATGACATATTCCGAAAGAAGCGCCACTAATTTGCATATCGCAGTTTTACTCAGCTACTCTTACTTGGCAACATATTCAAATTTTACACGGTTTGGCTTATTTTTGAGAGAGTTATCGCTATTTTTGTGATTTTTCCTTAATTTATAATAACCAGTGTATTATTAGAAGCCGGTTCGGTAACTCTCCCGAAGCGTCAAAATCAACGTTTTGGCAGCGATAGAACGCAATGCCGAATAATTACAGCTATCAGAGTTGGCAAGAAACTAGCGTGCACGCGAAGTCAGAAACAAGCTTCTTGTTACACTTTGAAAACATCTGTTTGAATACTGGCTACCTTATTTGCATTCCGGTGAGAAATACGGAAAAGAGAAGTTTTAGTAAGGTCTGAAATCATAAAAACTGGAATCGATCAGTCTCTTATCCTTCTTTCCCTATCACCAACCACTCGAGGAGACTTTCGGCTTGACTGTATTTTCAGTGCCCACATTCCGGAAATACACTACACATTTCCAAATAAGCATAACTTCTCAAGACTTTGGACCAGGGTTCAACGATATGGCACAGTCGGCAGCATTAAGCACCATAGCGATCAGGGAGAGGGGTCCTCTTTCTGTATATTTGCTTTACTGTCTATTTCTATATTTTTGTTTGGCAGCTAGCTTTAAAAAGAAGAAACAAATATACTCTGCAGGTGCACTTTTTACTACACAACTTACGCGTTTCTAACATACCCTAACTATATAACTAAAGCTATAACTGACTTATAGCTTTTATTCTATAACGCAGATAAGAAAAGCTAAGAGTATTTTTTACCCTTAGCTTTCCCTATCTTACATTTGATGTGAAGGAATATCAGATGTTACAGCAACTACAGAGGGATCCAAAAATGTATTCGCTGTTTGTAATTAAATTATTTCTAAGCAAAAAGCTGTACACTTGCTAAACTAATGCATAGGGTGCTGCAAGGTGTTAAATTTGTCGTCAGAGACGGAGTTAGCTATTTATGCAGCGCATCCGCGGGTGGTTGGTAGTGGATAGTTGAATTTTCCGCCTTCAGGGGGGAAATATAGTATCTGCTTTTAGAAGTTATTTTTTAGTTCAAAGGAGCTTTGTCCCTGAAAGACTATTGTTTTCGTTTTGTGATTTTGCGTCAAATCACTCTGAATGTCTGCTTCACTTTTCAAACTGTTGCCACCAAATATTATCGCCCTGTATTATATTTGAAGAAATTAAGTACTGAAGAATCTGCATTAATGTATGTATATTTCTCTCATTGTGATAAAACAACGGTACCTACAGCCATCTAATTTTGAATGACGTAATCCTACTGCAAATATGATCCTACTGCATCAGGAAGCCCAAATTTGAAATTTGTTTTATTATCGATTTCATATTTTCCTGAAGCTTTAACGAATTTTTCATTAATAAACTCAAGGATTTCAAAGCGAGCAATGGCAACGTTGTACAGAAAAAACATTTTTATCTCCAGCGCGTGTATCTGTAGACTGTGAGAAATTCTAAAGATATGCTCAAATATATATATTTTATATATATATGATAATTTTTTAGTAGCTTATGGGAAGCATATAAAAAACAAATTGGGCTACAATTTTAATC